GTTGCTGATATACATTGTGGGCTTCGGTAATTGGTTGCTGGTTTCACACAGGTGGGAAACAAGCCGATGACCGAGATTCCCACCGCCAAAGTTAAACTTCCCTATACCTACCTGATGGCGTGGCTCATCCTTCATCGTCCAGACTTAATGTTGGCACCGAGCATCACGGATACTTCCATTCCTATGGTGTAATTGTTAGAAGATAGCAAATAGGAAGCGAAATAGTTTCTTGAGGTGAGGCGGCAGCTCCAGATCCACAAGTGTTGGGAGTTCTTCAATTGCTTCACGCGATTCTTCGGCCAATATGATGAGCTGCTGATTGATGAGGAGAGTCCGGGGATAGGTCGAACTTCCCACAATGTAGGGTGCTTCAGATGGGTTATGAAGATCCGACCTTGGTATCTTGTCTTGCGAATGCCTTATCTACCATGTTTCGTCTCGATGTTAGTTTGGTAATGACCAAACTGGTATGTTGGAGAACTGAATCGAGAGTTGAGGACTCATGCACGTGCTTATTAGATGGGTGCTGCGGGCGTGGCTTTGGAGTATGGCGGGTTGCAACATGGCACTATAATTTAATCTCCGGCCATTAGAACACACGTTAGAGCTCACATTTCTCTGCTGTAGGTGGCTCATTGCCACCGACGCACCTGCCAAACAAAAATAGATTTTGGAGTTGGAGGCTAAAGAAGAAGCCTGAGTCACAGCCCAGATCATTCATGAGGATGTGGTCTCAAGGAGATGGGGGAAGAGCCCACCGGATCCTCCAGCAAGAGCAAGCAAGTAGTTGAGGAGGAAGAGAAGATTCTCCCCACTGATGAAACTAAAACTTTTGAAGAAGGTGCAGCTGGGGGTGAGGGCACGGGAGTTGGTGGCAATGAGAAAGAACTCAGGATAGGTCTGTCAGATTCCTTCTACTCCTTAGGATGGTTTATGAGCCCGACGATCACTCGTCGGACTCGCCCATCCGATTTGCCTAAGCCTCCAAAGGCTGCAAAGAAGCCGAGGCAGGAGGTTTTATTTACCTACCCTAATAAGATGACGGTTGACTTTCCAAGTGAGGCCGATAATGAAGAAGTGCCTCCCATCCTCCATCGGATGAGATCCCGATCTGCTGCTCAAGTTTCTTCACAGGTCGAGTTGCGTTCCAAGTTTAGGCAGGAGAGACCCGTCGCTCACGAGGAGGGTCGACTTGCAAAACAGAAGAAGATAGTGCACAAGCCATGTGCTGAGCTGCGAGCCTTTGAAACGGAACCACCCGACGATGCGCCTGTTGGGGGAGGAGGTAACATCTCACTCTTCATGTGATTTCTCACATTTAGCTTTTGATTTTCCGAGAACTTATCTTTCTTTGTTAATTCACAGGAGGCCTTGAAGAGGGTGAGCTTTCATTTTATCCTCCTTCTCCTGGTTTCACTCATTCAAAGAGATCGGATTTCATGCAATAGATGTGGGAGGCCATGGATGAAGAGGTAGTAAGCGGTGAAGCTGGTGCGGCTAGAGAAGTTCGTGTAGGCACCGGTGTCGAACCTTGCTCAATTGTAAGAATTTCAAGCCTAGGTATATCTAACACCGATAGTACGTCATTTCGGTAGCAATTAAGGGAATTGAATAATTTAGAATTTGTGCCTCCCCTAATGGTTTCTATGCTTCATTCTCTTTTAGAGAAGTTTAAGGGAGCGGGATTAAGTGTCGAGGCCGCGAAACATCCTACCGCCACCAAAGGTGAGTCTGATCTCCATTCGTCATGAATTCTGCTTTTCCTTCTTTTTCTTAATGCTTATGCTTTCTGTAGATGTCACCATGGAAGGGTCAGCTGAGGAAGAAACCTACCATGATGTACATTTTAGGGAGTTCAACGAACACACATTTGATTCAGCGACGAGCTTCTCTGAGGCTAATCAAAGATTGCTTGCCAACATGTTAGCGAAAAAAGCCGATCGGGAGGCCGCAGGACCAACTGTTGAGTCTGTTTCATCTGCAGATATGAATTTTATTTTGATGATACCATTTTTTGTTTATTGATCTTTACTTAACCACAGAGGAGTTTTAATTGTAGAACCAACCACTGGGGATGATACGGCTACAAGCACTGGAGTTTCAGACCAACCCGAGCACTTCAGCTTTCTAATGTTAGAAAAGGCCATCACTATTGAGGCTCAACCATCTGTTCCTCAGCCTCAAGTCATTGTTCCCTCAGATCCGATGGTTATAGAAGCCGTGACCATCTTAGATGTTAGCCCTGTTGCCCCAGCCGCGAGACCAACCGAAGGAGTTGATACATCAACAACTGTTATATCCACAACCATCCCTACAATTCACGAGGTTAGGCCGACAGGACCAAGCACAGGGCATCTAACTAAAGGATCCTATGCCGGTGTTGGTAAGTTCTGTTTTATGACTTGCCTTAAGATCTCGACTATTGTTTCGGGGTATTTATTCCTCCTCTTTTCCTTGCAGAGCTTACGACATCTCTGTACGGTTCGATTATGGCCTTGCTATCATACGACGATCTAAATAGGGTCAGCTTTTGCTTGGAACTCCTCACTTTTGCTTTATTCGTAGGTGTGATGATTGAAAAGATCCTTCACCAAGGATTTTCCTTCGACCCGTTCAGGCAAGCTCTCGATCGTCAAGTAAAGATGATTAGAGACGGAGGTTATTTAGACTTGGCAGATCTTATTACTGTGGACTTGGTCGTGATAGAGCATGAGTTCCTGATGAAGGATCAGGGGGAGATAAAACAAACTCTCCTAATCTTCATTTAGCCACTTCTCATCCGCGAGGGTCAGGACGGCCGGATCTTTGACGGAGTCACCGAATAAGTAATCAGGCTTCCTTAGAGGTTGAGTGGAGCTCGAATTTTTGACGAACAGAGTGTCGGTGATCAACCATCTTAGTGTGCGACAATCTCTATTCTGCACCAGCTGAGGAATCTCCTCAGGCCCACCCGGATTAAATTAAGGAGCTGCGTGAATGAGGGGTGCATCCTCAGCGGAGGCGTAAGCCTCACCACTATGACCACTTGCAACGTTAGATGGGAACGCCTCTGAGGGGAATTCAACTGAAACAAATGAGGCGTATTTATTAAACGTAGTTAAAAGAATATTTCCAAGGCAAAACAAGGTGTCGAACTCATCTCACGAATCTACGAGATAGAGTCACTACCTTGTAATTGGCGAGACGATTTCAACTGTTGCATACATATAAGGAAAAATGTAGATTGTCGCATAAATAACGTGATAATATACCCCACCCCACGGAGTGCGATACAACGTAAAATCACCCCTTTTACCTTGAGACATATTTTGGCCATGCAAAACACATCTTTTAAGCATCGACCCCCGCAAAGGAGGATATCGGCTCTTCCCGAATGTCTCGCGAAGGAGAGCAAATGAGGGTGCAATGTTCAGAATATCAATTTTTTGAATTGGCGTGATAAAAGCTTACCCCCAAGTGATGAGGCTGTAGGAACCCCTCTCGTAGCAGATTGAGAAGCCAATCGACCCCTCTGAACGCATGACCGCCTGTGAGACATTGTCAATCTACAAGAAAAGTCAACGGTTCAGGTAAAATTTCAAATGCGAGGTATTGGATCAACTTAAAAGCTCGTGAAAAGTACCCTAAATTCAATTTTATCAAGAATTGAGGTAAATAAGTTCATAATTAAAAAAGAAAAATTACGAGTTTTAACTAAAATCCTATAAAAAGTTGGGATTTTCCGGTTAAAATCTAATTAAACCTACAAGGTACATACGACCAACCGATGGCCTCAATTCTCGTCCTAAATACAAGCCAAGATCCTCGGTTCATACCCAAGAACAAAACTTAAGGTTTGGCTTTCACACAAGATCAAGTAAATTTTTTAGTCATGCCCAAAATTAGAAATTAGAAGCTTTGATCCTCCCTCAAAACCGATAGTTAGGGGATTAGTCAGTGCTTAAAAGTAAGCACCAAGATGTTCATCATTGTCCAAGACCAAAGTGCTAATTTTCAACCAAACCAAGAATTAAAACCTTGGTTATCATTCTCCATAGACCAAAAAATTGAAATATGAACATCAAGTTTGGGAAACAACCCCAAGATCGAAACCAGGGTTCGGTCCTTCACTAAACCCAAAATTTAAGAACTAGTCTCGAATGAAATTGAAGCTATGGGGAGGAGACTTACTTGAGATCCAAGGGGGAGACAACGTTCAGTGATGTGGAGAAGAAGGGCCGCGATGAAAAGCTTCAGACCCGAAAACCTTGAACTAAAACCCATAAATTCAAACTAGAGTTCCAATCATCCGAAAAATTGAAAATTAAAATTTAAAGACAAATTGAAACAAAATTGGAGATATGAGTGTGATTCTTACCTAGAATCCAAAGAGAGAATGAGCTCAGTGAGAAACCACAGCAAGGAATTAAAACTCAGGAAAGCCGTTGACCCCTTAGTCACAAATCCTTTGATTCGGTAGATTTAAAGAGAAAGAAGGACAGAAGAGATGGAGTTCCTATTAAGGAAGAAGACCGAATACAAAGAGGAGAAGGAGATAGAAGAAAATCGTTGAAATTGGGACTTAAAAACTCCCCACCAAACCTCCTCACGACCACCTCGTGCGAGACACATTTTTGTGTCTTATACACGAGACACCTATGTGTGTCTCGCACACGTACAAGACATGACAATGTGTCACGCACTCAGGGTGGGTCCCACAACCATTTTCGCGTACGATTCCGCCCATTTTCGCTCGTTTTTGACCTATTTGAGGTACGCATTCACACTCCAATGAGTATACGAGTATTAACTGCATCTCCTTGACCTTCTGACAAGTATATGAGGTTAAACTAATTCCCTAAACTCTAATGATTATACGAGTATAAACTGGTTCTCCACGCTCTAACACCTTAAGAATTTAAATTGTGTAGACTCTAGTTAACGTATGAGTATAAACTGTGTTCACGCTGTAACGAAGGTCAACGTCGGTCAATGCGTCAACAATTTTGCCACAACAAGGATCACAATAATTTTTAGGTTAAAGAATTATTATGGAGAGTTCAATCACAATTCAGATATAAACTCCCGACTAAGATAATCAGCTCAACGTCGACTCAACGACGAGAGTTAATTCAGGTATCAATGACGATTTTAGTTCAAGATTTTGATAACGGTCAGACGATAAACACTGCACTGGAAGAATTTTAGACTATTCGATAAAATACCGAATAGGCTGAAAGCTGAAGAAGTCAAGAATTGAAGATAGGGCATATTTGATCCAAAGTATTCCAGACTCCTCGATAAAAGACTAAGGAGACTAAAAACTTTGGAGGGGGTATCTGTGGGCGTCAAAAATTACCTATAAGTTCCCGGATACAACTCAAGATGAAGAGAATACAATTAACGTAATCATCTGAATCAAAGAAGATCATTCGATGCCAAAAGGTAGCAAAGGAACACGTGAAAAGCCGAAATGAAGAGGCAATAGAATGTACAAATTGACGAAACGTGGAACGAGACACGCATCAATGTGTCTCATCTGCAAGACACAATAATGTGTCTCGCCCTCATGTGCAAGACACGAAGTGTTTTTTCGCATAGTCGGACTCCCACGATGTGCTTTTTGATAAGTTTTCAGGATTCGTGTGGTCCAGTGTCTTCCTAACTACCTTAGGATTATCCTTACACGCTGGAGAATTGTTATTAATGGAAGATATGACCAGATCATGAGATCTTATACACAAACAGAGTATTCGAGGCCTATAAATACCCCCTTCATGCATTTGTGAAAGGGACTGACGTACGTGCTAGAGAACTTATGATTTTCAGACAGAGCCACAACTTTCAGAGAGAAAGGCGGGATTTTGGTGAATTATTGTGCATAAAGAGAAGATTTCGAGAGATCTGCGGGATTTTATTCATTCCCTTAAGATCAAACCGTTGTTTCGATCTTAAGAAGAGTATTTATCTCACATCATTGAGATATTTACTTATGTTCTAGTTTCCTCATTGAAATAAGAACCCCGAGCCTTCTTCACGATCAGCCAAGAACCTCGAGCCTTCTTCACGATCAGCCTAGATCTTGAATCGGTGGTCCACAGATCAAAGTGTCACTGGCACAAGCAAAGATCTCACGCAAGCATCGACCGATAAACGTTCTCCGCGTGTATTTCCAAGAAATCTTTTTTTTTTGTTTTCGTTGTAACAAGAAATCTTATAAAAATATTAACTCTTTTGAATCTGTGTAAACGATAAACATTGTAATGGGTTTGACAATGAAAATGATTGTTGACGCAAATAAGTCTCATGTTTATGAGCCTACTATCTAATCTAGTTTTGATGATTAACAAACAATTGCTAATAATGGTTGTCGAGTGTTTAATTGCTTGTTAGGTATTCTACACAAAGATCCTCCATTAGTGGTTGGTTAGAACTAAGCTTAACGACGACATCCTTTTGCGGTTGGATGGACTTGCGCTTTCATGATCACATTCAAAGGAGGTTGGCGGATATAGGAATGAAGCCATTTGCATTTCCAATCAAAGACTAAATATTACGCTTCATCCTTGTTTACCAAGATTGAGCATCATGAATAAATCATATTGCTTGGGTATAGTGTTTTAGGTTTATACTTTGTGTGTTTATACTTAGAGCTCAAATTTCATACACACACATTTGTTTTGATTTATTGTTTATTTTAATTTATCACCATTTTAGATTATAAACTTAACAACATGATTTTATATATTTTCTTAAGTTTATAAATCTATTTTAAAGTGTTTCAAAACTTGTTTGAAAGAAATTCGTCAAAATCAAGTTTTAACAAGTTCGTATGGTTTACCGATTTACAAAATAATGTATTGTGGATTAATGACTTAATATAATTGTTTTATATCTTTCATAAAATCTATTAATCCATTCAAAATAAGTTTCAAACTTGTTTGATATCATTTTCTCAAAATCAAGTGTTTTAAATGAATTCGTATTTTGACTGATTTTGCAAAATGATGAGTTCTCACAAACAAAAAGTAAGATTTCAAAAATTTCTTCTCAAACATGTTTGTTTCATGTTTAAACACATTCTACAAACTTTTACTAATTTTAGAGTTTATTTGTTATTTTAAATTGAATTTACAAAGTCAGATTTTCTAAATAATTTTCGTATCTGAGTATGTATCCGTTTTCGATCGACCCGGTCATACCCGTCGGTTGACCAACCAGAGATAGTTTTTTTTCCAACATTTGTTCTCAAGGTTTTTTAGTCGATCGACATACTTATAACAGTCGACCAATTGACACCCTTCGGTTGACTGACCATTGACCACCGGTCGACTGACATTGTGACCGTTGTAATAACGGCTAGTTTTCCCGATTTTGTTGTTTTGTGATTTTTTTTTCTTGGATTTTGAGGGTTTGTTTGAGAGCCTATATATACTTGTCAGTCCTCAATACTAAGAATCATCTAAAAAGATTTAAAACAAGTTTTAATTGTTTTAAGTGTGTTTCAAGTGTGTTTTTCAAGTGTTTATGTGAAGATAGTTTCACAAGAAGAGGAGATCAATTTATATTCTTTTGGGGCTTCAATTTCAATCTCTCTCACTCTTGTTTTTTTAGAGAAGTTTTACTAAACTCAACCTATAGCTATATGTACATATTTTGTTGATTATCATTTCTTTTAGCTAGAATTTAAATTGAGTTTACATTTCATTTTACTCATTTAATGCACACACAACCTTTGTGCTTTTAGTGTTTTCACATTAAGTATAATTTGGGTTGTGGTGAGTGATTCCTTGAGTGTGAGCTTAATTATGTTCTCATCTTGTTTAGAGAATAAATTCTTTGTATTTGTGCTTAATTGTCGATAGATCACATTGTAATACACAAGAACACCGAGAGGAGTGTGTGGTGAGAGATAGGGTCGATTCTAAGAGGAGTGATGTCGGTTGTAAAGCCTAGGAAGAGGTTGTAAATCCTATCACTTGAGAAAGGTGATACGGGCTAGGCTAATACTTAGAGGGTGTGTTGTGTGATTGTAATTGTGAGAGTTGTAAATATTTTTGATGAACGTTAAAAATCAGTTGAAATAGTGAAGATTCTCCTCCAGAGTGAGGAGTGGATACGTAGGTTAATGGTGACCGAACTCCGTGATTAGTTGTTTGTGTTTGTGTTTGTTATTGGCGCATTTTCTCTTGTGTTCATCTTATATCGCCTATTGTGCTCATTGTTTACATTGTCTCACGTTTATATCACCCTTTGTTTAAATACATATCCTTACACATAACTCATTCTATATCATATTGTTAGGATATTATCTATAAAGTTTTAATTTGGTATTAATATCGGATTAGATTAGCAAATACCCTATTCACCTCCCCCTCTAGGGTACTTTCAAATCTCGGCTCTATGGATCCAAACTCATCTGAGAAGCGGGCTCCTTGAGGATCCCCTCCTTTTGGACCATGGTGAGAGCTTTTACGAGTGAGGTGTTGAAGATAGGAGAGCGGGCCTCGACGCTGGGTCCCTCTATTAATCCCTCCTGTCGGACTGATTAGAGCGGGAGACGACTTTTGGGAGGTCACTAGGCCACTCCCACCTTGTGGGGGGGCGGCTTTAGCTACTTTGGTGTCGACGCCACCACTAATGTTGCTGCAGGTGTCGATAGTGAAAGTGGTGCTGCCGGTGTGGTTGTTATTGCTGCTGGAGTCATGGTTGTGGAGGTCTCTGTGACTGTGGTTACTGCCTTATAAGCTCGGGCATCCTCCATGTCCATATACTCATGAGATTTGGCTATCAAATGCTCATAATTAGTGACTGACTTCCTGGAAAAGGAGTCGACTCGTTGTTCTGCAAGCCGGCCATAAGAACGGACATAGTGACCGCACTCCCCAGATCATTAACCTCTAGCCTCTTCTCGTGGAATATCTTAAAGTAGGTTTGAAGGCTTTCTCCAGGCTCTTGTCTCATCTGGATCAACACATGAGGGGGCAGCTTCTTCTTGGTGTCAGCCAAGAAGTGATGGATAAACTTCCAGCTGAGTTGCTGAAAGCTGCTGATGGACTTTTTCTTGAGGGCATTCTACCAGTCTTTAGCGCTCCCTAACAGAGTGATGGGGAAGCATCAGCAGATAACCGCTTCTGATGATTAGAGCATGCTCATTATATCATAATAATTCTATACATGCTTAGAGGGGCCTCCCTCACCCTTATACTTTTCCACGTGAGGCATCTTGAACTTCTCACATAGGGCATTCATGAGGTCATCAGAAAGGGGTGTGTTCCCCCGATGGCTGCTATGATCGGTCGGTACACCCGATCATATCCAAAGGCCCCTATGGTAGTAGAGGGGGCCGAAGAGGCACGGTGGTAGAGTAGAGTCTTAGAGACTTCTTGTGCAACCCCCAGGGTGACTAGGGCCGGGGCTCTCAAAGGTGGCTTCAAGATCAAGGAGGAGACGTTAGCAAGGTTCATCAGGGTGAGTTGACCGATGTGGTGGCAGAGTCGCATATCTGACGTGATCCCTCCGCTACTTGGCAACAAAATGAGAAGTCTGAGGCGGAACCATCTGTTATGCTCCAAAAGGGAGGTGAG